TTTATTATCTGCTTGAAATAACTCCAGAGACCAAGGGGAGGCATGGGGCTGGTTTGGGAGAAAAACCTGAAGTCTGGCTGGTGAGGGGGCAGAAGTTGGAGGCACAGAGCCAGGGGAAGGTGGAAGGAAGCCAGTTCCTCTGCCCCAGTGTCTGCTCTTGAATGTAGCCCAAAAAACAAGAGCTTTGCCCCAGCTCAGCCTCCTGGGATGGAGCAGTTCCAAGCCCCGGTCACATCATCAGTCCCTGCTCCTGCCCATCCATTTTGGGGGGAGATGAGGATGGGGCCAGTGAAGCTCACAGCAGGGCAATGCCATGTCCCCTGGCTCCACAACTCCACCCCAGGACCATCAAAGGACCTCAGTCAGATCACTCCCTCCCTCCCCAGGGAACCAGGATCACTTTAGGAAGCCCCCAGGCTTGCTCCCCTCTTGCTCTGCATCCTGACCTTCCCCTGCCCAGGCCTGCAGCGACCACTGCAAGGAGCCACTCAACAGCCCAGCACCCCCAAATCCCAGCTGGAAAGATGCAGCTCCATAGCCCATTTTGTGCCCCAGTCCCCAGGGATGTGTCACCACACGTGCCCTGCCATCACCTACCACCATGGACAAGGAACAGCAGACCCTGCCAGAGCCAAAAAGGGGTGAGGTTTCACATCAGATCTGCCCCTCTGAAGGGGAGATGGGGCAGAAGGAGAGGGGTGACGAACCACAAGCTCCACCGTGGATTTTATTAAGCAAGAAGGAACTTCAACAGCAAACCCACAGGTACAAAGAGCCCCCGGCCTCGTGGCTCTGCCCTCGCACCCAACAGCTCTGCACTCCAGCCGCTGGCAGTCTGGAGCCACATTTAATTAACCCAGACAGCAATCAGCTCCCAGACACAGTGCAAGCAGCCACCGTCTCTGTGCTCCCAAGACTCATCCCCTTATTCCCAATCACATCATTCTGTTGCTCAAGGAGGGGAGGATTCCTGTTGAGAACCCAGCACAATCATGCAGATTTCAGCAGTTTTGATGGGGAGGGACTACAGGGAGACACGGCAGCACGGGATCGGCTCTCAAACAGCCAGTCCAGCCGGGATAACATCCAAAAGTATTTCCCTGCCTGCTCCCATGGGTATGCAATCACGCACCGCCTGGTCTCCAAGGCGTGAGGCACATCCCATATGTCCCATCAGCAGACCAGTTAGGCACCAGTACAAGACGGGATTTCACTGTTGCACACACCAAACCTGCCCCTGGACTGCTCAGTAAATCACTGGTTTAGCTCCAGTCAGGGGCGGCTCCAAGACTTTAAAGCCTCGATCTTCCCAGGGAGGGTGGGAGGAGGGATTTACCTACACAGCCCTACAGCTGCAGAAGGCCAAGGCGGTGGTTTGCTCCAGTATGTTGTAAAGCAGCTCTGCTCCCTCCCCATCCCAGCGTTTCAGAGCATTAGCACCGGAGCACTGCTGCCAGGGGACCTGAGCAGCCAGACTCAGCTGGCAAAGGCACGGCAGGACTTGCCATCCCCCCACCAAATCACAAACAGCAAAACGGGTCAAGTTTTGTCACGGCACAGAGAGGTGCCACTTGGCCTCCACCAACTGGAGGGTGCCAGTTCTTGGCAAGAGAAAACTCAGCCCCTGGGTCCGTGGTGGCTGGTAGCAGAGCCACGCTGTGCTCCCAGGCAGGAGGAGATGGAGCGTGGCAGGGGACAGCTGCTGTCTGCAAACAGGGAGCCCCTGTCCCCTCCCTGGGCGTGAGCTCTCACACTCGAACAGCTGGAGGAGGGAAGATGCCGATCTCCTCCCGCAGGGACTCCACTGACTGCTCCCAGCGCTGCTCGTAGTAGATATTCAGGATACAGCTGGCGTTGCGCCCACTCCGAATTGCCCAGGGGACCAGCTCAGTGGCCAAGACCTGCAGCTTTCTGGAGGAGGTGACAGTTTTGATTTCCACATTTTGTTTTTGATTTCTTTCTCCAAGTCCCCATTGCATGCCAAACCCATGTGTTCCATGTACCCCTCCCACCCTTCTAGCATCCCTCCTGCTTATCTCACAGGGGAAACTGAGGCACAGGAGAGGATGGTGTGCCAGGAAGGTTACAGTCAGCAGCAAACCCAAGACCAGACCTCAGGTTCTGCACTCCCCAGTTGTGCTGGGCCACCAAAACAGATGTGCTGGGTCAGGGAACAGCTGCCAGCATGGTGAGAGTCCTGCTGGCTCTCAACATGTGCCCAGCCAAGGGCAGCCAAGCCCAGGCATTGCTCCTCCCTCCTGGCATGGGAGAGTCAGCACTGGAAGCAGATGAAGCATCAGGTTCTGTTTCCGTGGCCAGGCAAAACTGTGCCTCCTGCTGTCACCACTTCCCTGAGAAGTTCACACGAGGGATCCCCATCTTACTCCCCTCTGCAAACTAGCAGTGTCCCTCTTTGTCCCCAGAGAACACCAGAAAGCATCATCCAGGCTGGAGCATCCCCAGGGCAGAGACTCCTTCCTCATCAGCTGTCACCAGCACCTACCGTGCGCTGAGACGGACGGGGCCAAACGCTGCTCCCAGGACACACATGGGCAGCCCAGTCTGGACGGCTTCGAACCACTTCACCACAACCTCACCTGGAGGGAGCAGGGAGGCTGTGAGCGGGCAGGGTGCCCGGGTCAAGGGCCAGCCAGGGCCACATGGTCCCTCAACACAGGCTGCATGATCTGCTTCTTCCCACCCATCCCCTCTGCCTCTGTGGCAGGACTCGGGAATGCTTCTCAAGTCTGGCCATGGCTCCATCCCACCCCAGAATGAGGGTCATGCACCACCCACCCAAGAAGGATGGTCCAGGGTCCCTGGGGGAGCAGCGCCCCACAGTTGATGCCCCATGAGCTTGGGAAACACCTCCCAGGCAGGATGGCTCCCTGCAGATCTTTAGCAATGTAACTGCCGGAGTCTGATCCCCCACACAGCTCTCCCTGGCACAGCTCTCCATGGCTCTGAGCACAGGACAGACCTTTTGCAGCCCCTGCCAGGGCTCAGCCAAAGCCTGCGTAGGAGACCTGCCACGCCGGCTGCCGCAGGCTCACCAGCAAGGCTCGACTTGCGACTTGCTATTGAGTCAGACACAAAACGAGGGCAAAGGACATGGGGACGCGCAGATAAGGAGCAACCAGGAACCCTCTACTTCTGCCTTTGCCCAGAGCTTGTGAAACATCCCTCCGTCGGTGCCACCCTCCCTGCCAGGCAGCAAACACCCACCTGCCCAGCAGCTGCCTGCACCCGAGGCTCAGGTAGAGCATCTCCCAGCAGGGGAAAGGTAACATCCTGCGGGCACTCTGTCACCACAGAGCCAGCGAGGCAGGCCACTGACAATGCCAACTTCCCCGCACACCTCCCTGCACTGGGGATCAGGGAGTCTGACTGGCCCAGCCTGCTCCGTTCCCAGGAGAGGTGGCCAAGCGCCCAGCAGCTGCCTGCACCCGAGGCTCAGGTAGAGCATCTCCCAGCAGGGGAAAGGTGACATCCTGCGGGCTCTCTGTCACCACAGAGCCAGCGAGGCAGGCCACTGACAATGCCAACTTCCCCGCACACCTCCCTGCACTGGGGATCAGGGAGTCTGACTGGCCCAGCCTGCTCCGTTCCCAGGAGAGGTGGCCAAGCACCATCAGTGGGTTTGGCAGTGTAGCTCCTGAGCCCATGGCTGCTCACCTAGCATGTTGGTTGGCATGCCCAGGAGGGTGTGCATCAGGTCGTGGACTTCTCGGTACCGCTGGATCACATATGCCAGCTCTTCATCATCAACGAACTTGGGTGGCATCCGGGTGTCTGGAGAAACCTTCTGCAAATCCAAAGAGTCCCAATTCAGCTCCCTCAAATCCTCAAGTTTCTGGTGTCGTTCTGTAATGCACAGCAACGTGTGGTCCCCTCCATCACCACATCTCCCAGCCTCCAGTGATGGGGGTCAGTGTCATTTACATAGATGAGCCAAGGACCGCACAGCACTGGTGACACATCCAGCACCATCCAACACCCAGCATCTCAAATGGTCCCGACTCCCTCTCATTCCTGGAGGCTTCCCCACAGGTTCCTCCATGGCTCCAATCTCCCCTTACAGTGCATCCATGCTCACGGCACAGGGATCAATTACAGCCGCTCACACCCTGCAAAGCCCCACACTCACATTGTCCTCCAAGAACCGGACGTACTCTCGGCCCAACGAGCCATCAGGCAGCCCTCGCAGCCTGGCCATGTCCAGGGTGGAGAGACGGATGCGAGGCCGTTCCCTTAAAGCAAAATACAGGTCAGTGAGTCTTCCAGTGAAACCCACAGCTGTGGGTCCTGGAGAAAAGGAGCCCCTGGAAACCCCCATCTCCTGCCTCTGAGCTTCCTGGGCATTTTCCTTGCAGGGGTCCTGACTGCTCGCTGCAGGGATCACAGAATCACAGAAGAGTTTGGGTTGGAAGGGACCTTTAGGTCATCCAGTCCAACCCCTGTGCAGTGAGCAGGGACATCTTCAACTAGATCAGGTTGCTCAGAGCCCTGTCCAGCCTGACCTTGAGTGTTTCCAGCCTTAGCACTGTCCTTATTTCTGTTGCTGAGGCTGGAACGCAAATTGCTTAAAGGATCTACCTGATCCTTTATTGCCTTGGCAGTAAAAGAGCTCTCACCATGCCCCCCTGTAGCAACTCTGGTTGGAAAAACACTGGTGTCCTCTGCACCAAAATGATGCCACGTGGGCTGCTGGCCAGGTAGAGCCCCCAGCAACAGCCTGCCCCAGAGGAGCAGAGCTCTTTAGCTTCTCTGCAAAACAGACAGAGCTTCAAATAAAGAACCCTAGAGAAGGGAGGGAATTTGTTCTAAATGCAGGTTTAATTTTTCTCCTGCTCAGGCTTTCGCCGCCAGCCACGTGGCAGCCATGCATGGAATGGTCTCCTCTCCAGGTTGGTGGCAAACGGGTGCCTCACACCCCTGGAATTAAACAAATGCCCTTTTATTTCCATGCACAGGATAAATTCTTCCCATGAATAAAGCTCTGCAGTGGATCCAGGAGCTGCTCAGCTCCTGGGCGGAGGTGCCAGAGAGATAAGCAGGACTCACACCAGCTTTACCCTCACTGCAGATGCAGGGACCTCAGCAGCTTGGGGGATTAAAAAACCACTTGTGTGCACAAATTGGACCATTGCAAATCCCTGCAATACCACAGGGCAAGGACAAGGTGGGGATGTCTCTCCCCAGCCCTTGGTGCCTTTGGTGTCCCCTCTTCCTGGGCAGTTCTTGGGCTCAGCCCCATCCTGGTGCTCCATGTGCTTTGCTGGGTCAGCATTCAGAGCCAGGATCAGGCTGCTCTGCACAAAGATACAGCAAAAAGCAGCTTTTCCCCAGCCTCTACGTGGTACAACCCCAACAATACACAAGTGGCAGGCGTGACACATAACAAGGAGCAGGGAGAAGGCAAGCAAATAAGCAGTAAGATCTTGGTTAATAAGAGACTCATGAAGTCCCTCCTGGTCCTCAGCCTTGCTGCACTTGTTAAGTCCCTGCAGACATGGAAGCAAAAGTGATCAAGTCTTAACAAGGAAGACAAGAGAAGTGGCCTCATTTCACAGCCTGGGGAGATGCTGCAGGCGCTGGGAAAGGAAATACAGAGGTGTCTAAGGAGGAGGCAGACCAGCAGAGAGGAAGTCTCCAACACAAGGAGATACAGCAGCAGGCACACGGGAGAAATACATGGATGTCTTCATCACTGCAGCGTTGAAAATGTCCATGGATTTCTCCCCTGTGCCTTTTGCTGCATCTCCTTGTGTTGGCACCTGCCAGTTCCAGCAGCGAAGTGGAACAGACAGCAGTGCTTGAAATAGGGCTGGGCCCAGTAACTGCTGTGCTCTTGCCACAGGGCTCTTGTAATTGTTAAAAAATAAATGAAAATAAAGAACCTGGAGTGTTAGAGCTAACGAAATGCTTGTGCTGCCTTCAAGCAAGGGAGTGCAGGGCTCTCCCTTCTCAGGGCCCAAGGAACGTGCTTGGCTTCGTGTCTCCCTCCCCACCACGAACCACATGGCGAGGGCGGGAGGGATGCGGAGGGACGCACTGGAGGATGCGGTAACCTTCAGGGTGGTGTTTCATCTTGTCCCGCAGGTTGGGCAGGGCGAGGCAGCCCGTGGTCTCCCCGAGGACTGCCACCATGTCTGAAACAGAGACCAGAGAATGACCCAAGATCGCATTTCGCAACATCCAGCTCTCCTCAGTTGGCAGGTGAGGAAATGGGACAATGAAGGAAGGAAGCCCTTGGCCAGGAGCAGGCAGGAAGCCTGTGGCAAAGCAGGGACCCCACAAACCACGGACCTTCATCCTTGGGGCTGCTCTGCCCTGGTGTCACCTGCAGGGAGGGACACAGGAGCAGGTGTGGTGGCCCAAGGAGGGATGAGATGGGGCTGGGTGGCATCTCAAGGGTCAGGAGATCACTGGGGGGGGGTGTTTGGGGTTCCTCACCCCCTCTCTTCCACAGCCTCCCGCCCTGGAGACCGGCGCTTGCCCCATTACAAAACATCCCACCCAACAGAAGG